TAGTTTTACTTAAGTTTTGTTTATTATTATAAAATTTGGATTTTATTAATATTATTGATGTTTTGATTATAATTATTAATTTTGAGAAATAACTTGATTTATAAAATAAATGATAAAATTAAGTCCAATTTTATTTTACATAAAAATGGATATTAAATGTCAAACAAAAGTTCCATAAATTAATTTTATAATAAAATACTTTTAAAGCAATTTAAAACAAAAATAATACATTGAATTTGTGAATATTAAATATACAAATGTTATGAAATATGGGTTGAAAATCATTTCATTTGCGACACAATTAGTAAATGAGTTGAACTCAACGATAATACAATGTACAATGTTTTCCTCCTGTAAAATGATTTGTTATCGCATTTATTGTATAGCCATAACTGGTTGCAAAAGTTCCCATAACTTATGGACCATAAGTTTGTGCGAAAACCCATAATATAGTGGTATTTGTACTGTTAAGTGAGTGCATTGCTGTATACGACCATTCATTATATTGATGTTTGACATTCACTATTTGAATCTCGAATTTATGTTTATGTTACTTGAGTGCAAAAAGTGCTTAATAACTTATTAATACATTTATTTCTAACATTTAGTGCAATTTGCAACTAAAACCATATATAACTGAATAACTGAACAAATTAGCTGACAATAGTTGACAACAATTAACACTCATTTGAATCTAACTCTACTGAGATGTCCGAAAGCCGAGAGTTTGATATCGTACTGTTCGGCGCCACAGGTTTTACCGGTCAGTTCGTTGTCGAAGAGTTGGCCCGAAGTGCACAACAAGAGTCCATCAAATGGGCGACCAGTGGAAGGAGTCGTGAAAAGTTGGCTAAAGTGTTGACCACTGCGAGCGCCGAGACTGGTATAGACGTGACAAACATTGCCACCATTGAAGCCGATGTCCAGTCGGAAGAGTCTCTGCGAGCGATGACCGCACGGACTAGACTTGTGTTGAATACTGTCGGCCCGTTTCGGTTCTTCGGGGAACCAATTATCAAAGCGTGCGTCGAGACGGCTACTAATCAACTGGACATCAGCGGTGAACCGCAGTATATGGAGTCAATGCAATTGAAGTACAATAAGATTGCCCACCAAAAGGGTATATACATTGCCGGTGCCTGTGGTTGGGGTTGTGTTGTCTGTGATTTAGGCGTTCAGTTCCTTAAGAAGCACTTCAATGGAGAACTCAATTCTGTGGAAACGTTTCTTACTCTTAAGACCGGACCTAAAGTAATGTAACTAAAAATGTAATTAATAAATTGTTTCTAAAACTACTATAAAATTACTAATATAGGGATTGAGTACAAACTACGGCACGTGGCAGTCGGCCATTCATGGCTTCGCAACCAAACATGAATTGAAAGATCTTCGGCGCCAACTCTATCGGGAAGTGTTTACTAAACC